CCGTTAGGAGCCACGTGGCATCACCCTCCTCCTATTCTCCACTGTCAAACATGAACAAGCTGCATTCCCACGGAGGCCTCAGCAAGCCACCCTCAGTCAACCAGCTCGCAGGACAGCAGCCCCAGCAACACCACACTGCCCCCTCTTCCATGGCTCATATGGGTGATTATCTATGTGTGTGATTTCGTTTCAAGACATTACTTCCAAAACTGTTACAGTACTTTATCCAGGTTTGCTGCTGTTAGTTTTATTGATCACCCGTCCCTTTCCTACAGGTCCAAACATGCTCAACAGCAACCACATGCAGGCAAATGGAGAAATGAACGGTGGCCACAACAGTCAGAATATAGTGTCTGCTTCTCACTGCAGCCCGCCCCCTCCGTATAACCCTGACCCCAGCCTTGTCAGGTACCTCACCCTCCAATGACACTCCTCCTTTACTCACCTGTAAAAAAAAAGGCCGCTTGACAATCAGATGCACTTGTCTGGTTAAATGTAAACTAGTGGCATAAGAATACTTTACTTTACTTGGCCATGTTTACATAGTATTATGTCAAACAGTGTTTTGAAAACGTTCTATTTTGCCACAAAATGTGACAAGATTGAGCTGTTTTTTTGTTTTGTTTTGTTTTTTTTAAACATAATGTTGTGGCTGTTTTGTAAAGGCTTGCAATAACAATACAGATCTGTAAACACCCTTTGAGAGTGCCATAGTAAAAGCCCACTGGAGACTTGGTAACATGGAAAAAATGTGTATACATGGCACAGTTAAAGTGGAAAAGAACGATAAGTAGAAAGGTCAAGTCAGTAATATTTAAAATAAAAGTGAAAAGAACATTTTTTGTTTTGGGGGTTGTTGTTTTTTTCAGTTTTAGCCCCTTTAATATTAAAATGTTCCTGTTCCGTGCAGAAAAAAATGAAAACCAGAACACAGCAAAAAAAAAAAGAAAGAAAGAAAAAGAAAAAAAAAAGAAAAAGAGAAAAAAAAGAAAAAGAAAAACACCAATGCTTTCAGCTGGCTGGATTTATTATTTCAGGTTTCTGCTAGATGCATATAAGTGTTTAAATCACATGTTTATCAGCTCTCATTAAATAATACAGCATAACCTCTCAAGACTTGTAAAACCTCTGCTATGGATTTGTTACCTGCACATGAAAAGCAGAAACTGTGTGTCTTACCTAGTTCTAAATTCCTTCACACTGACACTGTGTAAACAGCCATTCTTTGCAATGCAATGCAATGCAGCAGATTTTTTTCTTCAAAAGAAATGTTTAATTTCTATTTAATTTTAAACTATATTTTTTCTTTTTTCTTTTTAATTAATTTTACTTTTGTAAGCTATTTTGTCCATTTTGCAGTCATATGACTTGCTCTTGCAATTTTAGCATTTTTGATACAGCAGGATTTGTCGTTTTGTTTTTGCAGACTATTATGTTAATTAAACCGTTAAATTGTACAGCTAGCTTCTTTTTCCAGTTACTTTGTATGTTACCAAAACGTTAACATTCATGTATTTATAATAAAGCTTCTTCATCAAAGCAATAATGGCCTTATGAATCATTAATATTGTATAAATGTATGTTTATGGTTTTAATTTCACTACAGTTCTTCAGATGTATAGTTTCTGTATCCTTTAGTTTAGATCTGTGCCCTAAATCTCCCTCTTATTTTACTTAGAATAAGCTATAGGGACTTGTCCCCCTATAGATATTACTACAGTAAATCCAGAAAATACTTGTTTTTCTCTTTCAGTTTTTCTCAGGAGTAATGTTTTTGTTTAAGTCCCAGTTTTAGGTTGTATCTCTGGTCTAAGCAGGCCTTCTTTTCTCCCCATACAGCTTTCTCACCAGTCTGGGCTGTCAGAACTTCATTGAGTACTTCACTTCCCAAGGCCTCCAGTCTATCTACCATCTCCAAACTCTCTCCATGGAGGTAACCAGTTTGTTCCTGCACATACAATCTACAAGCAGTAGAAATAATGGACATAATAAGAAATGTTATACGTAATTATTAAAACAAATAAAAGAAAGTGAAGAAAAGGTAAAAATGGCAACAAAAAAAGAAACTGCAATAAGAGACACAAAACAGAAAAGTAAAGCAACAAGGTACAAACAAATCCCAGATAATTACTGACCACTAGTGATGATGCAAAGAATTACCTTATTAAATGGTAAAAATGGTAAATGGCCTGTATTTATATAACGCTTTACTAGTCCCTAAGGACCCCAAAGCGCTTTACATATCCAGTCATCCACCCATTCACACACACATTCACACATTCACATTAAGCAGGCTTAATACTTCCTGACTTCCTTTTGCATTTTCAAGCAAACACGTAAAGACACACTCTTATTGCTTTGTGTTTGCTTTTTTGCTACACTCTTGAACTCCTCCAATGTCTGTGTGCCCTCACTAGGATTTGGGTGCGCTAAAGATACCAGAACAGTCCCGCCTCATCATCTGGCGAGGTCTGCAGGACATGAAACAAGGCGCTCCCCTGCAGCTGCCTGCTTCTTCTCATCATCATGACTATCATGGGCAGCAGCTACTTCGCTCTAGCAGCAACATGACTGCCTCCGCAATGGCGGCCATTGGGGCTGCAGGTGGGGAACTGCAACGCCAGCGGGTCATGGAAGCTGTGCACTTTCGCGTCCGCCACACCATCACTATCCCCAACAGGTCCAGTGTTGTTGGGACATCAGGCATGACGGCTGCTGATGAGTGGGCTGACTTTGGTTTTGACATGCCTGACTGCAAGGTGTCACGGAGCAAGCACTCCATCAAGGAGGAATTCATGGAAAGTGACATTCACTGAGACTGAATAAAATCTTGGATCTTCTTTCCCAGAAGTTATTGTCAGCATCAGCTTACTGCAGTGTAACTATGTGACTAGGGTTGTTAAATATGTGTTTAGCTGCTCTTGTCATATTTTGATGATCAACTTTGATCAATTTTGATTCTGAGATATTTTCAGTGTGCTCATGCACTTGCATGTGCAGCCAGAAGTTTGTGCTTGAACTGTTGTTCCATCTAATATTTGAAGATAACATAACAAAGTTTACGTCTTCAGTCTTCAAAGCAAAATGCATTGTAACAATATAATTGTCAAAGCAATGCTGAACACACATGATCTGGACTTTGCTTTTTGGAACGCTGATAAGTGCAAAAGCAATTTTTTTGGGGGTGCACTGTGCAATAAGTAATAACACATTTTTCTTTTACAGCATATGTGACATTGTTCACAGTAACATAAATGTCAAAAGAGGTAAATCACCACTGCATTTTATGTTTAGATGCCAAAAATAGGTTCTCATCTGACTTTTTTTTTTCTTTAAGTTGTCCTTCACTTGTACAAATGTATATACTTTATCATGTAAATGTTTTGGAGTAGATGTTGTTGGAAATAATAGAGTCAACATGATGTATCTGCTGTTTGAACCAAATGACTAGAACTGGGTAAATCGAATCCATAACTATGGGAACACAATTGTGTATTTTCAGTGGGTATGATAACGTGATGACCGTAATGTGGTTCGGTGTGGTGGTATCGTTTATGTGCAAAAAAAAAAAAAAAGTGCTTTGGTGTTAGTAGTTGTACGCTGACACTTACTGTTAAAAATTAGGTATTGCCTAATACTTTTATTACGTTCTAGAAAATATGCCGCTCATTATTTTATAGTAACACACTGCAACACAGATAGGAGACAATCAAACAAACAAAAAAAGCATACTCAGTATTATATCTTAATACCAGGGATTTGATTAGATTTGTGAATGGATATTGTGCTATCCCTGTACATCAAGAAAACTAGATAATGAGCAGCATTTTTGTCCTTGTATTTGTATTTTGAAAACCTTGCAGGGCAAGGTACTCATAAATTCATTATAGCCTACTCTGTAGCTAATCTTCATGGCACTTGTTTGTAGGTATTTAATAACATTCCACTTTAATTTCTGGATTGCCATCATGAAGCTGAATGGTTCTCTTATTGTGTTATATTTGCTTGACCTTTACTTGTACCAGGGCGAAGGGTTTTGTCTCCCTTTCTAAGGCCCATTCTTGGAAAGACAATTTTTCGTCGTTTTTCATCTCATTATTACAAATGGTCAGAGAGAGAGCACTTTAATGCGATTAAATCATTTAGGTGTTTCAGTATTAACACCACAGTGTAAATAAAAGAATTTCTCCGTTTCTTGTTCTGTTTTTTTTTTTTTTCTCAAAAAAAAAAAATTGTTTACTGGTGTGTTTTTATTCATGAGCGTTCATTCGTTTCTGCTGTTGTTAAAATCACGAATTAAATTGGTTAAAACGTCTGCCTCTGCGGTCTCTTTTTTCAAAGTGACAAGGTTTTCAACCCAGTGGTCGGAAATAGTACTGAATGTTTAAGGAAACAGGCCAACCAGAGGAAACATTCTGATGCTGCGCTGACTTTTTATTATTTGAACCGAGAAATCGGTTCGTTTGTGATCGTTGAGGTCTGAAGAGTCATAGCGAATCGAGGTGGTCGGATTTCTGCTACTCAGCCTGTGGTATCCTCGCGGAAGTATTGACGTGTACACAGCAGTTTACACGAGAAGTGGCTAGTTTAGCTAGCTAGGTAGAGCCGGGTAGTGTCACAGCGGCCGTATCAGGTAAGAAAGAACTGCCATTGACAATTTTCGCTGTAACTGCTAATACAGCTGAGAGACACAAAGAGGTATTGAATCGAAGAATCAACATTGATTGTGATTGCATCATTCACTGAATATGGAGGTGTTTAGTATAGAATGGTTATATTTTAACTGTGCTAGCTAGCTGTGAAACTGTTGGCAACGTAGCACCGGAAGTGAGTTGTCAATTTTGTGAAGCCCTTGCTGGGTGTTGTAGTTTAAATGTGAACACAAACCAATTCTTGCAATCTAGGAGTAGTCAATAATAAACTACAAATTATTTTTTACATACTTTTACATGTGCCCAATTGGAGTTGTGGGAAATGTAGTCTAATACTTTCATTCTAACGGCTGAAGGGGGTCAAATGAAGCTGAACAAAACTACATCACCCATACAAACGTTAACTGGGGCCAAAGGTAGTGTACGTTTCGACGGCTAGGACCGCTTTCGGGGCTAATTTCTAAGCTAACGCGAAGAATTTAAAATAATATAAGATAAAGTAATACCTCTAGTACAACTTATTGAAGTTGTAGTGCACATCGTAGTTATTTTCCATTTTGCAAATGAGCCTATTTTGGTAGATATTGCTTCCTAGATGTTATCCTGCCTTCCTTAAGCTGTGAGCTAGTTATGCAGCTAATGCTAACCAGGCACAACCACAGCTCGTCACGGTCCTGTTCTTTTCCCCATTAAAATAAAAATAGCAAATCATTAAATGTCCTAACGCGTAATGCGTAGTTATCTAAGCAATCAACCTAGGCTACAGTGGATATAAATGTTGTTTTGGTGAGTAACCGACAAGCGCACCGAGAATATTTATGATCAGCTAATCAATTAAAATTCTATTAAAGGACCTAGGGTTAGATTTAATTTACAGAGATACATATTTAAATTGTTTATTTAAAGAAAATTACAAAGATTTTGTCACCTTGACTATTTGCGCCTTGATAGTTATCTGATCACTCTGATTAACCCCTCTTCTGGACATATGCACCTCGCAGATACAGGTCTTTCCGGACAGCCTATGTCTATTGTATTTACTTGTATCACAGTTTACAGAGTATATATTACACAAACTGAAAAGAAACGTGTGTTCCAAAATGTGCAGTTCTTGGTAAAATCGTTCACAAATTTTCGTTTTACTGGGTATTTATTTCCAAATCCTTTAAGACAAAATGGGCACAGAAGAGTTTGTCATTTGTCAATTTATCACCTCCATTTTGTATCTTCAACTGGGGCCGTTGGTAGACATGGTCATGCTGAATAAGAGTATTGTGCAGTACTCTTATTAAAGTAGATTAAGTTCATACGCCACTAATCAAAATCTTTTTGTCCTTCCAATAAGAATGTCAGAAGGGGACAGTGCTGGGGAGTCAATCCATGGGAAAACTTCTGTTGTGGCTGCCTTTTTCACACGAGTTGGACAGGTAATGTGTGAGATCAAGAATATCATATTCTTTTAAATAGGTTTAAATTTAGGGATACACCGATTGTGAAAATTCTGTCTTTTTAAAATGCCTTTTTGAACCAAGTCATTAAACAAAGACTTACCATTTTAAACATTAGCATTCATTGAGCCAAATCTCAGTAGAGACATTTTTAAAACTGACTTGCAAATATAAGTACGTCAGAACTGATGTTCACAACAGATAAATATGAACTTCATGTTTTTCAGCACCTCTGCAATGTTTATTCTGGTTTCTTTTTGTCACAGGTCTATCAGTCATGGCTAGACAAGTCAACACCATTCTATGCAATGCGGTGGGCAGGAACTCTACTACTTACTCTTGTCTACATGATCAGAGTGTATCTACTACAGGTAATTGTGTATTTCTGTGTGTTTTTCAGATTTATTTGCAATTAGTCAGCCAAGTTAAAAATGTTAATGAGGAATTCTAAATACTTAAATTTTTTGCTTGGCCTATAATAAATACTATCTTTATCAAGTTTAAAATGCCAACTCTTTATAAAGAGGGTTTGAAATCCTCATTCACCTCTAGTAGTTTTTAACCAATTGTATCTTACTTTCAGATCAAGGTTATTTCATTTTGCTATTATTCATTAAAAGTAAAATAATGCATTTCATAGTAAATCTCTCTGCCTTTATTGTCTTGTTTTGACTGGGATATTGCTCTATTCGTTAGGTGTTTATATCATAAAGTTCTTATATGTCTTGACTGATGTGTCTTGACTGACTCTAGCAAAGATGTCCTTTAATAAGGTTATTTTCTGATGCTCCTTTTCAGGGTTGGTATATAGTAACATATGCTTTGGGAATCTACCATCTCAACCTGTTCATTGCTTTTCTGTCGCCAAAAGTGGATCCCTCACTGCTTGAAGAAGGTTAGTCAACTCGGTCTCATTAAAGTAGTGTTTGTGATGTGAACATGGAAGTAGGCTACCTCATGGAGTATTACTAAACTGTTCATTTAGACCTTAGTACTTGCATCTAATCAAAAGTCTAAGCCAGCAATTGCCCAATATGGGGTTTTTTTTTCTGAGAATTTTCTAATATAACTTTCAATTTATTATGAAAGATTTTAAAATAGTTACTGGAACAATAGACTATTACTGTACACTTGCATATTTACAAGTACGTATCTCAAAACTGAAATGCTTGAGTCCATATAGATACAGAAAGGGCACTGCATCTCAGTAGACAACAAAGTCCCACAAACAGTTTCTTCCTTTGTGCCATCTATTACTACTACTCTTAGGCACTTTGCAAAATGTTCTCTCATCCGTGCCTTTCTATTGTGTGTCTTCCTTCTGTTTTGCATATATTCCTGTCGTCTGTTATTTATTCTTGCTCTCCTACTATTTATATTTTATACCATGCACAGTTGGCGTGGAGCAGCCAAATGTGGTTTTATAGTAGCACTCTGTTTATGAGCAAGTGACCTCCTTGAATGGAATGTGTACAGTTGTGACTGTTCCCAAAAAATATATGAATTAGCCATTTTTACTGTATGTAACTGAAATTGTCCTATTTCTAAAGTGTACATTGTTGTTGTTGATGTTCTTGTTGCTGTTATGGGATAACTCAACTAGTAACCTATATTATCTACAGATGAGGGCCCATCCCTTCCCACCAAGCAGAACGAGGAGTTCCGCCCTTTCATCAGGAGGTTGCCTGAATTCAAATTCTGGTGAGAGTTCAACATGGTCACCCAGGGAAATTGCAAATTATTTTCTTTAGAACAACCTGTGTGCTGAAAGATTATATTAAGCAAAGCTCCTTTAGAAATGGGTGTAGCATTTTAGGGTGAAACTAAAGACACAGAGTTTGAGTCATTTTTGTTTATTTTGATTTGACCTCATTGTCTCAAATTAATTTCTACTTCATTGACATAAAGATTGTGTCTGTAACCTTGACTTCCAAAAATAGTTTAAATACAAACATTTTCTTCAGATTTTTAAAACCACAACTTAATTTATTTTCACAGCAGCAATAAATTTTACTCACCACCTGCTGGTAGCTTAACTTAGCATCGATTTCTGCCATTCTGTGCTGTACCAATTTCAAATTATGTGTTAGGCCTTGAATCTTATTTGCATTTACAAATACTGTGTTCTCTTATATACTAAAGAAGAAAGGGGGGAAAACACACATTTGCTTGATATCTTTTTCTTTATATCAGATATGTACCTGATGCATGAAAATATCATCTTTGTTCCCTTTGCATGTTTATCTGCTTGATTAAAAACAATTTGACTTTCAATGTAACATGCTTACCCATGTTAAGTGGATATTGGGATATAACAATTACAGGATTAAATTATTTGTTCATTTGTTGTTTGGAGGGTTGCTGACTAAACTAAAGATTTTAAGTCTTATATTTTATTACGTCTTGCTAAGAACATCTTTCTGATTTCTACTCAAATTTGTGTCAGACTACACTTTGTTGCATTTTCCACTACCTTCTCTTTGTTAATCTCCAACCGTACCTAGTGATTTAGTACTGTGTAAAAGATTTAGGCAGAAAACAAACAAATACATCAGTACAAATTATCTTAGATACTGTGGAATACAATTAAAGTACATGTAGCTGGTCAGTTCTCAAGAGAGTATTCAGTCTGTGTTGGACCTATTTATTAGAAAGGTCTCACTCTGTTTTACTCTTAAAAGAATCTCAAGCCTGCGGTCTAGTTTCAAACGAAACATTTTAAAATGCAAAAGCCTAACCAGATAAAAGTTTTAGCGCTCTGTCTACTCTATATGCAGACATTCTCTTTCTCTTTATAACTTACATAATCTTGTTCTTCTGTACACGGCTGTACATGGACTCCTTGTTCTTGTTGCTTAAGATAACACTTTGACTCTGACTGTGTGTTTACTTTTCTTTTCAGGCATTCAGCGACAAAAGGCATCGTCATCGCCATGATTTGCACATTTTTTGATGCCTTCAATGTGCCAGTATTCTGGCCTATACTTGTAATGTACTTCATCATGCTCTTTTGCATCACCATGAAGAGGCAGATTAAAGTAAGTACAAACATACATCTCTTTGCTTAGTACATATTGATCATAGCTGCATTAGATTAACAGTAATAGGGTGCTTTGGGTCTGGAGGAATGTTTTCATCATCCATAGTCCCTATTTGAAACCTTGAGTTAAGTATTCCGACCAGTGACATCATGATGTATTTTGAAACATATTGTGACAATAAGTATGTCTAACTGAGAAGCCAAAGTCACTGGAACTCATTAATTAGAAGGTAATGATGCCTAAAGCACAACTCATAAATGTCTGTTTAGCATTTATCTTAGAGTATAATTGTATTTAATTTAAAAAAAAAATCACCTAGTAATAAAGATACTATATCAAGATATGATATCATACTATGTCATAAATCAATTAAGTCATTGTGTTAGAGCCTACATAGCTGGATTTTGTTTGTTTTTTTAATCTCAGAGGAGTAGCCATTGTAAACAATCATTTCACACACCCCAAGGTTACTTGCATTTTTTTTTTTATATACATACAGCAAGCAAGGACAGGACTATTACAGTTCTTTGAACTCAGTTAACAATATTGAACAATAGTCCTACACCAACTGCTTCCCTGCTGTTGCATAACTAAATCTTACTGTTAGAATCTTACTGTTCCTGAAGATATGTTGTTCAAGAGTGAGTTGCCCAGTGTCCCTATGACAGTTTGGTCTGAAAGTGCCTACAGTGCAATAAAAACATTGCAGTCCACAAATTGCTTTTGGGTTAGACAGAGCCACAGGTTTAACCTTATATTTTATTGAAGGACCTTTATTGTATGAAAAGGGTGTCATTGTTGTTATCTGCAGTGCAGTTTATATTGTGATTCTGAATGTGTTGTAAAATATGCTAAGTCACTAAAAGTGTATGCACAAGCCTTAAAGTAAGTGTTGCTAACTCTCCTTTTTACTTCCTTGTCTTTTCTAGCATATGGTCAAGTACAGATACCTACCCTTCACACATGGGAAGAGGACATACAAAGGCAAGGAAGACACAGGGAAAGCTTTTGCTAGTTAAAAAAACTCCCACTCTCCCTTCCTCTTTGTTGCATTTAAAATTTATTGGCCACAGCCATTGGGGAATGATGAGGGTTAGAGATGTATTTTCTTTTTGTCAGTTGAACAGTAACATGAAAACATGAAAAATACAAGTTTTGATCCACAGTGTTCTCAGTGTTGGACGAGGATACGAGCAGCATGGATCAAATTAGTCTAAAAATCTAAACTACTCCCTTTGTCTAATGAGGGTTTTTTTCTGTTTGTTTGCTTTTTGGGGGCTTTTTTTTGTTTTGTTTTTCAAGGATTGATCTGCAGTTACTCAGTAATAGTTAGGACTAAGTGCTACCTTTTGCCTTTCTAACCCTAAAGAGTAACAGTAAAGACATCAAAACTGAAAGAAATTTGCAGTAAAATGAGTGATTTTTTTTTTTTGTTTGTTGTTGTTTTGTTATGCTTTGTTTCCACTGGTTTATTCCAGTACACCCCCTCTCTAAAATTCACTAACTTTTAATTCATGTAATTTCTCATTTACAAAAATATGATAAAGTTGTTAACGTGATATCAGATGGAAATGCAAGAGTCTTCAAATTAAAAATTTTCATCTTCGTGATGAGAATATCCTGCTGCTCTGACTTAAATATCTCTGGCACTTGTCCTTTGTTCTAAATAAAGATACCTGGAAAAATTGGCTGCTTTTTACGTGAATATTCTTTCATGAAGGCCCCCCCCCCCCCCCAAAAAAAAACAAAAAAAACAAAAACAAAAAACTTCCTGTTAATCTATAAAATGAATTACATCCAGCCAGCACAATGTTTAAAAACTTTGATTGTCCATTTGATTTGTTAGCTACCCTGTATAATTTTGTAATTCAAGGAGAGTGTCACTAATCCCAGATAACGTAGTTGCCTGTAGTCTGCAGTCATTCTTAAATCACTTATTTCTACTTTTCCGCCTTCGTAGAGTTTAACTACTGGGAAACTGGGATGGAAATCATTTTGGGTGTAATTACCCCAGGGAGATAAATTGGGTGACTGAGCAATTAACATGAAATGGCAAGTCAATGAATTTGCTTTACCTCAGATTTTTAGACCGTTAAGTGGGTATTTATTCAAAACCTAATGTGTCCTAAAGTGCATAACCAGTATTCCAGATAAATTCATAATGTGGCTTATTTGAGAGCAGTCAATCAAGCAAGTTTATTTCAATGACCCCATCTCTTTGAAATATTTAGCAATCTTTGTTTCAAAGACTGAGGCTCATTTGGAATTTGTAGACTGGCTGTTGTTGTCTTTCACATTCTGTGTAAAATCTTTTAAGAGTTGTGGTAAATGTAGTCATTCCAAGCAAACTGTTGTTCTCTTTCTTTTTCAGAGGAAACATAAGAAAACAGAGATTGAGAGCTTTTATTAAAAGAAATGGATGAAGTGGGTGGCGATCACATACTTTTCTATGAACCAGTTGATTTTTTTTTCCTTTTTTTCCTTTTTTTTTTTTTTTTTTTTCAAAATGCTGCAAATCTGTGATTATTAAACGTTGATCAGCACTGTAGTAAGGGATCAAAAAATTTCCTGTAAAAAGTTTGTGTTTCAAAGGGTTGTCTGGGTTTGTGTGTATATAAATATATATATTTTAAAATATAATTTTTTTTTTTTAAGATTCATTTTTTTTTCATCCACCACCATACTGTTTGAGTGTGAAAAACTATTTCAGTTGAAGTTTATGGAAGTAAAACTGCTAAATTGGGTTGCAGATCTGATAAATTAAATGTTTTTCATGGAATTGCATGTTATTTTCTTGTGCTACAGTTACAAACAGAAACTTGATTTTAATAACTTAAGTGTAATTTTTTCACTCCAAATGCTATTAAAGAGGCTGTGTCCCTTTGAACAGTGCATTTGAATCTTGGCTTCATATTTTATAAGTATTCATGGAAAAGGGTAGCCTTGCAACTAAAGACAGTTGGAGAGGTCCAGTGCATTTCTGTTTATCGTAATCAAAATGTATTTTTGTACAGCTCTTTCTTTGTAATTTTTTTCTTTTTTAAGTTAATGGCACATATGACTGGAATCTGAATATATTTGGTCACCTCTATAAAATAAGGAAATTCATTGTTATCTTTTGAGTTGTGTCCAGCATTATCAGATTAATGAGACAAAGTTGCCATTTAGCTGCTGATCTTTGCATACTGATTTGTGAATCCTTCAATGATAGATATTCCTCAGAGGCTCCAGCATTACCAGCGGCTCATAACATCAGACAGAGTGTTAAGGCTCACCGTAGACTGGTAAATACTTCTTGTTTTGAGAATGAAGAGCATTGTTGTCTATCACTGTATACTGGGGTGTTTTCTACATGCTTTGGCTCAATACACTGTTTCAACATCTGAGTTTTGGGTGGAAGGAGATTATTTGATAGGTGGACTTTTTAATATTCATCAGCTGAATGACTCTCTTCTTCATCAAAGACCAGAAGCCATTGACTGCTCCAGGTTAGTTAAACTCTGTTGGGTACTTTCTTGTGATAAAACTAATAAAAACAGAAAAAGTTTACTTGACGCTGGTTAAACTGGTAATAGAAATCTTAAACCAGTGAAATGAATTGCTGTGTTATTAATATTTATTTTTTAAAGTCAGCACTGCTGACATGGTCATTTAGCTAGAAATCCTATTTTAGATGATCATAATTATTTAGGGATGTCCAAAATTGCACATATTTACTACAAGCATTGCAACGGAATTTATTACTGTCCTTCATCTGCCCACAGTGCACCTTTTATTCTGTCCAGTTATCGAAGGTTTCAAATGATGAGATTCTCTGTAGAAGAAATCAACAATTCTACCAAGCTACTGCCAAATGTGTCACTTGGCTATGAAATCTTTGACCACTGCACAGATTTTGTGAGTTTCCCAGGACCTTTAAACCTAATCTCTGATAATGGCTTTATGCGCCCTCTGGAAGAACCACACAATTTATCCAAAGTGATAGCAGTGGTCGGGACCTATACAAGCCCTCAGGCACGAGCTGTAGCCCCACTGTTCATGATGAATCTCATTCCAATGGTAAACCTATGAGCCCTTATGTACTTTGACATTTTTTAAACCAGATCAATATTTTTTATTAAAAAATAGTCTTTACAAAAGTTAAATCAAGAAATGATGTTTTCCATGTTTAAAATAATACAAGTTTCAGGAGTATAAATGATTGGTTATTGTTAATGATCACAATGACATTTTCTCTGTTGCTCTTAACAGGTCAGTTATGGAGCTTCCAGTTCAATCTTTTCAAGAAAACAGACCTTTCCCTCTTTCTTAAGAACAGTGCATCCCAATGAAGAGGTCATAAAAGGCATTGTTAGTATTGTCAAGCGATTCAACTGGAAATGGGTTGCTTTTCTTTATGTTAATAATGATTATGGAACAGATGGCCTGGACTTGTTTTTAAAAGCAATTAATGAGACTGACATCTGCCTTGCATATAGCAAAGGCCTTGATCAAGATACAGATTGCAGTCTAATGTTTAGACAGATTGATGCAAAAAACATTAATATCATTATTGTTTTTGCACCTGAATGGACTGTTGAAGAACTCATGGAGTCAGTAAAAAGACAAAATGTTACAAACAAGGTGTGGATAGCAACTGATACATGGTCCCTAAACAAAAAAATAATAGACCAGATACAAGGAAGCAAAAATATTGGCACTGTACTTGGGGTTGCTCAGCCTAAGATGTCAATACCTGGTTTTAGTGAGTTCATTCATTCTTTCAAGGCCAAGAACCACTGTGAAAATGCAGAGCAACAGAAGTTTTGTAATCAGGTTTGCAACTGCAGTAGCCTGACTGCTGAGGAAATCATTGATGCAGATCCATCGTTCTCTTTTCCTGTTTATTCTGCCGTGTATTCCATTGCTCATGCCTTACACAATATGTTACAATGTGGAGCTGATGGATGTAAAGACAGTATTACAGTCTACCCCCATATGGTAAGCATTCTAATTATTTGATCATTTCTCACTTTACTTTTTGAAAATGATCTAAGAGTGAATAATTGTTCTTATCCGTAGTAAAACCAGTGATAGTGTATATGAAGTATGTGATAAGCTAACTGGAATCTCAGAGTTAGTTAAACCTAATAATAATAAAAACGACAGAATTATTAGGTTAAGCAAATTGTGTTTGTCCAAACCTCAGTCATTGTGAACTCAGTGTTACTGTTGTGTTCCAACATCAGGTTCTTACAGAGTTGAGGAAGACAAATTTTACCCTTTTAAACCAAACCATTCAGTTTGATGAGAATGGTGACCCCATGTTTGGATCCCACTCAGTCGTTTTTTGGGGCCCCAGTGGTGATGTGCAGGAAGTGGGCTATTATACTTGTCATCCATCATTCCATTTCTTCATCAACGACACCAAAATTCAGTGGCATACAAGTGCACAAGTACGTAGTAGTAATAAGTTATTTTATTTGTTTTTTCAACACAAAGATTAATAATAAAATTAAGTTTTAGCAATTTAGTTTTTTAGACTTCTACCTAGATATAAGCACACGGCAGCTACCAGTTGTAGGTGTTCATAAGGTGATTTGCATGGCTGTCTAGATATAACAGGCAAATACTTTTACATGTTACAAAACAATTTTAGAAATTCAAAAAACCTGTGTGAATATATTTAATGACTGGTACTTTCCCCGTAATTTACCGTTACAGTAAATGGTACGGAAGTGCAGTATCTTCTTCTGACCTTTTTACACCCAATATTCTTGTGTAGGTACCAACTTCAGTGTGTTCTGAAGAATGTAAAATAGGCTACAAGAAAACACAACTTGGAATCCACAAGTGTTGCTTCAGTTGCACAATTTGTCCACGTGGGACTTATATCAACAGCACAGGTAAACTGTTTTTGAATGACAGTAGAAAAAGAGTGAAAGTAGTGCTGTCACTTGTAATGGAAGTTAAAGTTATGCTTTTTAAAGACTATTATTGTCTTCATATAGACTAAGCCATAGTCTTCCATTTTTGTTCCAGTCACCGCTCATATAAAAGCAGCCAATTATTAGTCGTGATAGATTTACACTAAGGTGCAAACTGTAAAGTACAGGGCAGGTTTAACGTGAAGGAAGATCTTTAGAGAGCATAGTGTATCACAGGTCAAATGTTTGTAGTTTAAAACAGACATAAACACCTTTGAAGCTTTAATTTTTAAATTCTTGTTATTTTTAAAGCAATTTTGCATGGTTCACAATCTTTGCTTGAATGTTGGTACGGCTCAGTTCATCAACAATATGATGTTATCTCTTCCTCTAAGCCTGCTTTCTGATTGGCTGTACCACATATAATTTCCATAACTAAAATTTTGTGCCGATGGACACCTTTTCTACCGCTTGCCACCACGGAGGTCATGAGAACTGTAACATGACAATGGATGGGACAAACATCAGAAGAAATAAACATTTGTTAAACAATACGTTAAATATTTGCTTATTTAAGGGCACAATAGTAGATCTAGTTTTTCAATCATAAGCTGTGCTTACAAGTTGATCAGTCTGAACTTTACAAAATCTTGTGCTTGCGACTACTGATAACTGACTACTGACGACTAATGACTAACTAAATGACTAATAATTGTGTGTTTAAATACAAACACAAACATACATGTATGAACTCTCAATGGAGAAAGGTATCATGGGTCTACTTTAAAGATGACCATATGCTTCTTTTCTGCCCATCTCTCTTGTGA